AGGTCAATAATAATAATGAAACGTCGTTTCGGCCTATAGACAGCAAGGAGCGCCACTCTGCTTCATCTCTACTGACTGTGGCCAAACCGTTTCTCTCCCAAAATGGCTAAACTATTGGAATAATGCTTCACTCTCTCCCCATGGACGTCGTCAACCGTTTTCTGTTCGCGCAATCGCCACTAAGGCACGGTCAACAGCTGTCGTCATGCCACCAACCTCTAGTCAGCGTCCAGCCACTGTCCGCTCCGGTTCCACTACATAACGAGACAAAGTGTTAATGTCTATAACTAAATAACGGTAATGGCACGTAACACCATATAATGTGTAAACTCTGTTGCTACTTGAAAGGAGTTTCCACTGCACACTTGCTTTCAGCAGGCGTCGTATCGTCGTCTACGATAACGACTATTATTCCATGCCTTTCTTTCATAGTTTGGAACCTTGCTATGATTTAGCCTCCCTTAGATAATACGGAGTCAGGGAAACCTTCATGATGCACGGAGCCCGCACCCTTCTTTCAATAACGCGACCGGAGTCAAGCAAGTCGTCGAGCAAGACTTTTGCATACGACCTCCACCCCAGGGATGAAGGTTGCCGTACATTTCTTCCCTGAATAAAAAACACGCCTATGAAGAAGTGTGCCTGCTCTTGCAAAGCATGTGCGGACCTTGGAACAGCTCATGTTCTGAGGGACACATTCAGAATTGAGCACTACTTTACTGACCATAACTTTCTCGGGTATCAACGAAATTTCAATCTTAAAATGATATCTGGAAGCTGTTTTTGAAGACTACTTCCCAGTTAGCACTAACTTTATGCAAAATAGTGAAGGCTGTTCATGAGGAATATTCTTGAGTGAGCTAGTTTTGACAATTTCGCAAGGCATAACTTCTGCATCAATTCGCCGACTGCATCACTTCAAGAAAAGTCAATACTATAGCTTTTTAAATTGAAGGATCATCTACCCATTCTAAGAATTAGTAATTTCTGTAGTCCAAAATGGAGCTTGTTCAAGATTTTCGTCTGAATACCAGCAAAAGACTCCCTCCTTGCGTTGTCACTCTTTCAACGATCATAACTTTTCTCATGGGCAGTTTCGCACAAATATAAAACAGCTGTATCGTTCACAAGCTTTTCAGTTTCTAAGAGAGTAAGGTTCCAGCTCAACTGAAATATGCTAATGGAGTTAGAGATGAAAATTGATTTTCTTCTTGCGCAGTGCATTCCTTTCTGTCATTTCGGAAAATCCCTCCTGAGCCTCTTGATGTCTCTCAGACTCACCTCTTCATTGCAGAAATGCGAAGAAGTGCATGACATTAGTCGAACTCGCTCAGGGAAGCGCTGTCCATTCGACGTCTCACGCTGGTCGCGATCCCCTTCCACTTCCAAACGGGCTTCCACTTCACAGATCGTTGCTGCACTTACGACCCCCATCCCCCCCATTGGACCTGACACTACCCTTCGTCGAGGATTATTAACTCTAAACATGTCGCTTCATTGTCGTGATGAAGACATCGCTGTTCTTCGCTTTTTTTGTATGCTACTCGGTCAGGTTCCTTTTAGTTAGTTCCCTGTACGCTCAAAAATATACAGGGGGGGGGGGCAAAAAAAAAAGACATTTTGCCTATGTCGCACTTCGGCTTTTTTTTCTTCGCAGAGATTGCCGTCGTTGACGGGAAGTTCCTCAGCAGAATATTCCCTAAATGTCCCTCTATAAGTACGCAGGCCCTCCTTCACTGCCCTCACCGTCTTCAGAATATGACGTCATCTGTCACCGTCGTCGAGCTCAGGAGGCCTACAGTAACTGCTTCAGCCTGAAGCTCTTACATAATTTCTTCAATCGATTCATGTTGGATAGTTTCCTAGAAACATTAGCTCTGAATATGCAAACCCCCTCGGAACCGCTTTCCAGAAAACGTCGTAATGGTATGGGGTCCGTCCACGACCCCATTGAGCACGACCAGTACACCATGTTTTCAGTGCTAATTTTTCGATTTCGTCCACCTTGAAGGGCAATATGAAGTTAATTCTGCAAAATGGAATGATCTCCCCCCCCTGTATACCTGTAACATCCATTCCTTCCCTCCCCACCTTCTTCAGGAGCACAGGTACCCCAGTACCCACTTTATTCTTACGATGCACTCGCAACAACCTTCGCGAGGATCGCCTTAAAAAGTACTTTCTTTCGCCGCACTGTCCGTTCCCATTCCGTTTAGTTGTCACATAACGTTGAAAAAGTGGAGACAGTTCAGCGAGTTGTCCAGTTGCGGCAAAGTTTTGACAAAAACTGTTCTCGCTTCCACTTTTTTCTGCCGACGCTCACATATTTTCAGACTCAATGCGTTTTCTATGCACTGTCGCACTATTGTTGTTTATCAGTGCCGCTTTTGCTCAATCTGCACCATCAAAGGCGTATGAAAATGCTCACATCAGGTGGGAAAACTCGTATATTGGAGGAGTCTCCAAGAATTTTCAATTTTTCGTTTCAGAGTGAAACGTCGTCATCACCATCACCACGGGTGGGGCGGTCTATATGGCATGATGGGTGGGTGGGGTGGTCCATATGGCGGGATGGGTGGATGGGGCGGTCAATATAGCATGGGGGGATGGGGCGGTCCATATGGCATGGGTGGATGGGGATGGGGACGTTAATAGTAACAGAAAACGTATGGACGTGGAAGCTGCAGGAGCATATACTAGAAGAGATCCTTCTATTATATTTGCATCGCGTGCATTAGTTCTTCTACTTACCGTAAACCGTGAATTCTCCACCACTTTTGTTTTTATTGTTTTTTATTTGACGTCATCCCGTAGAAAGCACTTTTGTATGAAGTGTCATAATAAAATGTAAAAGTATCCGAATATGTAGATCGAAGGAGACGAAAGCGTGTTTTCACGGTGACATTTTTGCAACAGATTGTTTTTCATTTACAGGAGCCGAACAAACTCCAACCATGCCAGATTTTCAGCACTTTCATATGAATGCTTCCTGGTCTAGGTCCTCTATTCTATCGAGTGATGTTTCCCCGAGAGAATATTCCAGTTGAAATTTGCCTCCTGCCTGGGGAAGTAATCACGTTTGCAAAGTGGACCTAGTTCGCGTCAGTGACCACTTAAAGGACGAATTCACGATGAAAAAGCAACCCATTTCAAATTAACCTAGGGATGGTGAGTGGTACACGAAAGAAGGAAGAACCATGAGAAACGGCCCAGAACCCGAGAAATGGACCCCTTCCTTGCCCGTTGATTTGAGCATTGATGCGACTCTCATCGCTGCCCTCTTCAACACTACGCTCTCTCAGCTATCTAATCACTCGCCACGTATTGAACTACGGCGAGTGATCAGATGATCGGTGGGCGGAGATCGCCGGACCCGCCAGCTTTGAGGCATGATAGGTCGCCGAGGTCAAATTTTTCCATGCGAATTGCGCGTCAGTTCGCACCCTCAGGAGGTCCGTGGGTCCCTCAACTAGGTCAGTTTCCCTTTCTTCGACCTTCATTCTAATCGTGAATTCCTCCTTTAAGGCAGAATTTATGATGAAAGGTTAGCTCAATGGATATAAGTGAGTGGAGCAGGGGTGAAGAAGAAACCATTGAAACGGCCCAGAACCCGAGAAATGGGACCCCTTCCTTGCCCGTTGATTTGCGCATTGATGCGACTCTCATCGCTGTGCCCTCTTCAACACTACGCTCTCTCTGCTATCTAATCACTCGCCACGTATAGACCTGCGGCGAGTGATTAGATAGTCGGTGGGCGTTCCCGCCAACTGCGCCAAAAGGAAGGCCATGCTAGTTCGCTTTTGGCATTTCTTCTTCTCTTCTTCCTCTTACTCTTTAGCGTTTGTCCCACCAGGTAGCAGGTCCGCTTTCTGGTCTGGTGACGCCACTTTTCCCGATTTGTATGCCTGATCGGGATGGAGGCCAACTAATTTCAAGTCCTTGCATCGTTACTTAGGGCGTCCTCTTGGCCGCTTCCTGGCACGTAAAAGTCTAGATCAATCTTACGGATACTTTTCACACTCGTCGGGCTTTGCGAGTGGGCGTCGGCTCCCGCGTACGCCGTAGCATTCATCTCGGAAATCATATGACGTCGGTAACCATGAAGATGTGACGTGGATATTCGTAAACCGGCCCGTCACAGGGGCATGAATGTTCCTGCTCAGCTCAGCCCACATAAGTGAGCAATTCCCAGTGGCCGCCTAGGGCATATCATTCGACGCGAATTACGTGTTGGTCCTTACCCTTAGGGGGTCCACCTGTCCCACAAATAGGTGAATTATTCTCTTTAAGACTTCGTTCTTACCGTGGAATCCTCCATTATTCGGTTCCGAGGCGCCTAATAAGTGCTACGAAA